GTTCACAGAGTAGTACAGGTGTAATCCAGATGACCAGTCCTAGTTTGAAATGAAACGCACATTCACACGGATTCTGCTGCCAGTCTCAAAATTTTGATATGTAAGAAAAAAAATTCGTGTTCTATTTCTCTAACTGAGTTGATTTCTATAGCAGAAAATGAGCAATTCCACCATATTTTTACAAAAGTACAGCCTAATCCTTTTTAGGGGATAATAATTATTACTTTTTTTGCTTGTATAATAGCAGCACATCGTCATTTCACTCTGTTCACCTTCATCTGACTATATGATTACGCATAAACTTGTAGGTCTCATTATTGGGCGCGTGGCCTGCGATGACACTCAACAGGTCTATTCAGTGAATTTCCGGTTCATCTGCGTACTTTTAAGGCGATTGGTTCTCGATTATTTGGTTGCCTTCCAGAGTTAGTCGGTTGTTGCTAATCCATCCTTTCTACAGACCGTCTACTCTTCATTGTAGATCTATGACGCGCGTGCATTAAAGTCTACAATGGTCTATTGGAAAGTCTTTTCGTAATGCTCACAGCAAGTCTGTGTACCATACAAAATATGTGTGTGTGAATAACTTTACAGTGTTGTCGATGGTTCGAGTCGTTTTTATGTTGAACGATTAGTTTAGATCAAACCCTATAAAACTTAAAACAAATCGCTATCATTCACCTATTTTACTTATGAGTGGTTTTGTCATTTTGATTCATTGCATCATCAATCTTTTAGGAATCACAAGTGTGGTATTGATTTGGCTACTTGATTATGTAAGTGTAGTAGTGTTACCTTTTTTTCTCCCTTCACATCTGAATGTACATCGTTGGTAACATGGTAGACACCAAGCGGGCTGTCTGGGTTCGATACTTTGCGAACGCACACCTGAACCACAACTTGTTTACTAACGGCCGATAAATTGGTAAGCCAGGTTACTAGGGAAGATTGAATGAAATGTAAGGCTAACACTCTCACTCCGTAAAAGAACAAAACAACATAACCACCGCTACTGTGACTTTAAATCCTGAAGCTTGGTATGGTATAACAGTATATCATACAAGGAGGGGACTTCTGAGACCCTACGTAGGATTCTTAATAAAGCAGAAGTTTGTTCTACCTTTGTCTCTCCCACCCTTTCTTATTGTCTGTTTCCTTCGTACTTCTATGATATTCATTTAAACTCTGATTATCTGTCCACTTCACCTTTACTCAGTGGATGGTGACTAGCAGTGGAATCCAGGGTGTGCATTTCTTCCCCTTTTGTGCGACTTGTCAGCCGGTATGTACTGGCAATCTCCAGTGAGCAATGGTGTCCCCACTTGGGTATATTGGATTCCACACTGCCAGTCACCAATCCCCTAAATAACACCAGGTCTTAACCTACCTACTTTTATGAATGTTTTTAAGGGAAATGCAGAAGACAGTAAAAAGTCGCTGGAAGGCGTGCTCCGGACAGAACAGTAATATTGCTTCTCAAATGGGATTCGCATTGTTGTTTATTATCGCTTATTACCTAGCTATATTATTTGAAGATCGACTATCCAGGAGTAAACATTTTTCTCAATTAAAGCACATTAGGCATCGTATATTGATGTGTCGGTGGTACAGCGGTTAGCATGCTCGCCGACCATGTACATGGTCCGAGGTTCGATCACCGACCGACGCACTCCCTTACCTCACTATATCCAGTAATAAGACTGGTAAAGAGGGAAGGTTGGGCATGAGGCTATCAACCCCGTCCTGTAAAAGTAAACACTTTTACAGAAACTCCAAGCCACTAGCTTGAAGCCCTATGTTCCACTGGGAACGGGAAGGAAATAATAATAATATAGTAAGACATCGTATATTGTAGTATCTGAACTACCAGCTTAACTATAAAAAAAGAAGCAATAAATAAACGGCTCCTTTTTTAAATTTTTTTTTATATTGAAATTATTAATGTAAATGGGATGCTGTTTAATTCCCCGCCTACCATCTTGAGAGTAAATTAGAGAGATACATGGAATTTTAATTGCATTACATGCTTACCTGTTTGGCAAAATTAATAAGCCATCCATTATAAAAGATGCCCATTCAAAATTATTGGAAACTAATCATCAAACAAAGTATATATATATATTTTTTTCTCGAATACTTTCTCCTCATCAGTCTCTACAGTTATATCTTCACAATAATTAAAGAAATATTGTTAATAACAGAATTAATGTTTTATCTAAAATAACATCAAATCCTTGACATCAAAATTCCAAAATTTATATGTAACTACGTAAAAGTTATATTTGTATAATGTCAGCGAAATTTAACTAAGTAATTTAAATTAAGTAGATTACGTAGATTAGTGATACATATCCAATTATTTTTTATTTATTAATCAGGGCTAGCCATGCATAATCCGTTGATAATCACACTTTCATGCCTGTTGAGCCTTATACGATTCATCCATATATTTAAGGCTTCTACAGTCAGTCTTTCTGTATACGAACGAAAACTTTTCCTGTGGCACCTTAGTTCTATCAAAGTCAATTTTGTATCCTGTTTCTGTCGAGTGTGGTGCAATCTTCGACCTGTTTTCTAGCTTCTTTAAACTTGTAGAGGTCTTTACAACCAATTTTCGAAACTTTTTATGTTCCATATACTCTTACATTTACCTACATATAAGGTGTGACAATCTACACAAATGATCCTGGTTTTCTTCTATCTTATTATCCTTAGTCTTCACCAGTGTAAGGTGTCCGTGTTGCACAAAAATACACTCTTATGTCATGAATGTTAAGTGTTGGCTTTATTTCAGCCGATGTTTCCTTGTGGTAAGGAATCACCACCACTGTACTAACCTAATTCTTAGCAGTAGGTTTCGATTCATCCTTATCTTCACAGTTTAAATATTTTTTTAACAAGGCTTTGGGGGGGGTGGGTAATTATTTGATTCAAGAGTAGACTGAACCAATCACAGTTCCCCATTGATGTCTTCCACGTTTGCCTCCTTTAATCAGATTCTTGATCACAGTTATTTCCCGATTGTCTCAATCTTCTCTTATGGAGAGGTTAACAAATGATTTTCAATTGTTCCCCCATGTACACATACATTGTATACTATGAAATTTAGTCTAAACGTAATCACAAAATATCTGATGCAAAAGTACATACCGTTTACAGTGTTTAATAAAAAGTAGACTAAGGTCAAATTTTGATCACAACTCATAAAATTTTGTTTATTATATTTTGATCCATGACTCATATGACTGCAAAACGTTTTTAAAAACAAAAGATTTCACTTTTTTTCATACATATATAAACCTTTGTTATTTTATATGAACTGTGATCAAGACTTGACCGAATAATTTCAAAATAATTGGGCGCCGAGTGAGAAGGAGACATTTGTAAAAAAAAAAGAACAAAAATTATGCTTGTAAAATCTCAGCGAAGGAGAAGCGAGTAATTTCAACGTTTCCTACGACCCAATTTCGCTGTGGTTGTACAAATGTACTTTTTACAAATGTCTTTGTTATTTTAACTGCGATTAATTTCACTGGAGAAGTTCGGACCAGTTCACTGAACACAGAAAACACGTGAGCTACTTATTCCAATTATTTTGAAACTGTTCGGTCAAATCTTGATCACACACACACACACATCAATCATATGAATTATGTGTAAATAGATTGTTGGTTAAAACAAATTATAGCTCAAAACATGTAAACATGCAAGTGATTTAAGTTGAAAACGAGTTTTCCAAAGTAAATGATCAGGAATAACAGCAATAAACACTCATGATTAATGCTCACAACGAATTCTATTCATATTGATCAAGGATGAATGATAATATCAAAAGGCGACGGTTCTCTAACTGATATCAATCCGTGATAAACTCGTGAAAACAAAACTAACCCTTACAAACCAAGCTATAGAATATCAGTCTAATGCTCGCTAGTGACTTGCTACAGGATAGAGTTTCCTGGAGTTCTAGTGAGAAGTCGTGACCATTGAGGTCCATCCAGATGTCACGTGTAAGGATGGATGTCCCGCCTACGACAATGGTTGTCGTCGCGCTTAATCACGAATTGGTAGAAGTTAGAATTCATGCATGGGCTAGCCATTGAATCGGGTCGGGTCCCAGTGGCTGAATGGTATACGAGCTAGCTTGATTTGTAACCAGGAGGCCCTGGGTTCGAATCCCATTGGGTGCGTATCGCCGACGATGATGATGAAACGGCTGTCCAATACTCCCTGTGGCTGGTTTTCAATGGTTCTTTAACAGATATCAATCCGTGATCAACTTGTAAAAACAAAACTAATCCTTATAAACTAAACTATAGAAAAATATTTGTTCATACAAGAGCACTAACAATAGTTGGGGGAATTTATATATATATACATATATATGATGGAGAGTCATACGTAAAAGGTTTGATGTAAAACAGTAGTTATGAATTGTTAAATTCCACTGCAGGTCGGCGTAGCAACCGTATCTGAACTTGTTGCTTTTGTACGCGTAACATTGATTGTTTTATTTGAAAGTGTAATTACCACTGCTATTTTGGGGTATCCGGTACCTAGAAGCTTTTGACGGGCATTAGCTTTATGGCGCATGTGTGGATTAGGTAATCTAATATCGAACTGTAGATGGGTTTCATAACGCCTGCATTTAGTCACTCAAGCAGGTGTTCCTGAGCACCAAAAAATCAAGTCCCTAGAGCAACGGTCAATATAACCGGTTCCAGAGGAGCATCTGAATTGACAGATCCGAGAAGACATACTCTTGAAATTTTGATGCCAGTTGATTCGATGTTGCCTAGAATTATTCTTTAATACTTATAGATAGATGTGTAACTTTCAAGGATTTCATCATGACGTGATATCACATATGTCACTATGAAACCCGATGAAGAGTTTCTTTTCTTCCTTAATTAGTCATTATTATTTTCCGAATATAAAGCTTCTGTTATTAACATTAAGTAAACAAAATGTTCTTAATGTTTTTGTTGTTGTCCTTTTTAGGTATATATGTCAATATTTTATGACTGGAATATATTTATTCTCCAATAATGTCGTTGAATGTTTGCGAAATGTGCAAACGTATGTCATTTCAAGATTATGTCTACAGAATAAGGTTTGAAAAAGAATTGAAAATTAACCGAACCACTGGCGTAGATGACGACGATGGTGATGATTCAATGCAGAGTTGCCTCATCACCGATTCACCTGACAACTATTCATGGATATACAACATTGAGTATATATCATTTACAGTAAATCACAAAAACAATGCTACTACTACTACTAATGATAATAACAATTGTATTACAATCAATCTTGATATTTTGAGATACATCAATCAATGCCTGTTGGCGACAAGTCGACGGATATACTCTCCTCTGTCCGAAAGTGAATCATCAGGTATCAGATATATGTAAACTACATTTTTTTGTTGGACAGGGGAGGGGGATGAGGGTAGAGAGACTTGATTATTTCCAAGTTTTATATATCATGAACTAACACACGTCACTTAGCGAGTCATTGAAAACCACTGTTATTTCACATCACAGTTTGGAGTTATTCGGCAGTACTCACACATAATCCAACCTAGGATGTTTTGGATAACACGTGGGCTAGTTTCTCATTCATTCTGGAGTGTTTGAAGTTCCATTGAAAAGTCATGACCTTTGAGGTTCATCATATCGCCAGATATTAAGATAAATAGTCAGCGATATATGTATGTATATATACATATATATATATCGGGAATTGACAAAAGTTAGAATTCGAGGACTGGTCACTAGATCCCGTCCCAGTGGCTGACCGGTCAACGAACCCGCTTGTTAACCTGATTGAATTTGTTTCAACGTAGAACTTTGCATAAAAGTGCACCAGTCCGAGTAGTCACACACCATCCAACAGATAAAGTTAGAAAAAATAAGAGATTCAAGAGAACTACAATATTTTAACTGATTAAAAATGCCCATTAAAATTTTTCAAAAGAATGGATACTGGACAAAGAGTACTCTTTTCGATAACTCCATCCAGTTATATATACATTATAGTGAATGAATGAATTAGTGTCACTAACTATATTAATGCTGTTTAAATAACATCGAATCAGTAATATCAGTAGATTACAGTTCAATGGCATCAACATAAAATAAGCTGGATGTCAGAAAAGTTAGGAAAGATAATATTACAAATTCATGAATTTATAGTCTCTACTGAAGGCCGACCAGGGCAGTAGTAGCGACTGGCTGGACTCGCTTCTTCTGTGCACAAAGCACTGGCTGTTTCACGTGAATTGCGATAGTCTCTGCTGCTTGGAGACAATCTATTAAGCACACGGTAGATGATAGAGAAGGATTCTTCAATGCTAGCCGACTTTGTGGCCGGCCGGGTTGCACCAGATGGTCTAATATCGAACTGTTGACGGCTTTCACTACATTTTTACCTAGCCATACTGGGAGATGTTCTCGAGTGAGCATGAAAAATCAAGTTCCTAGAGCAGCGGCCAACATATAACTCGCTCCACCAGCGCAGTTAAATTGGTAGATGCAACTTGAGGTGGTTAGTGTAGGTACTTCATCTTTCAGTCGAGGTAGCATCATCTATCGTGTGGAGAATAAGACGTGTAGTTCGGCAGCATTAAAAGTTCTTTGAACTGATTTTCTTAATTTCTTCTTAATTATTTCACTTAATATATCCCCCTTGAATTGTAGTCGTATATAAAGTGGCTTCTTATTTACGGATTGTGAGTAGTCCCTTTTCGCTTTCTTTGTCATGTGTTTCTTGATAAATTTGTCAGGATAGCTATTTTCGATCAAAGTATCATATACAGTGCTTAATTCTTCTTCAATTGCTTATTCTGAGCATATAGCTCTAACTCTGTGGCTGAGGGTCTACACTAAATTTCTTTTGTACTTCATAGGAACGAAGCTGTGACAATGTGTATATTGTCCTGTCCGAGTGTTTTTTCTATGCAAATTTCTTTTCATGCTACCATCTTGTTTTCTTGTAAGGAGGACATGCAGGAAGGCACTTCTGTTTTGGGATTCTTCTTCACACATGAATTTCATAGCCGAATCTACTTCATTGAATTCAGTAGTTATTGTACTCCTATAAGAACCATTATCACAAAGAATAAAGGTATCATCCCTATACCGGCAATAAAATGAGAACTTACTGATAAGGTTGTTCAAAGGTCCATTTTAGAACTACAATAAACAAAAATATGAGGCAAAAAGAATACTAGCACGAAAGATGAAGGAGAAGAAGAAGAAGCAGATTTCATTGATCTGGGAGATTATAAAGACTGAATGCTCCTCTATACCACTGAAGATTATTTTGAGTCATATCACTGATAGTCCCCAGTTGTTGGCTGTTGGCATTCCATGGATCCGAACCAAGCAGTTAACACCAGTTTAAGTGGCTCGCTTAAACCGACTGTCAAAACTGTATGCCCTCACTAGTAAGTACCAAAACTCATCCATACCCTACTTAGCTCGTGTTCTGTGCGATAAAGAAAGCATTGGGCGTGAAACCTTTGACTTATTAAATAGTCAGTAGAACAAGTGGATCTCGTCTTTCCAATTCATATCATTTATAGATACAACATTTTCTTTCTCTCTTTTCCTTTTCTTTCTCTTTTTCTCTGTTATGTGCAGTTTTTGTTTCTTTCTTTCATCAGTAAATACATCAGTAAATATGCTAGAACCTACTTTTCCAACACCTTCTAACACTCTGTTTAATTTTGGCTTTGCTACCGACATCCTAATATATTATTGTCAAAACTAACTGAGATTAGCCTTAATCTACCTAGAATTTTATTTTATTGTTAATGTACTAACTGGATGCAATATTGTAGTAATATGCTGAGAATTCTATTCTGTATCACAAGGACTGTTTTGGAATAAAGCTATTATTATTTTATCTTATCTTAAAAAAAGACTTCACGGAATGATGCCAGGTTTTTCTTTTGAGCACACCCATAACTCTTTTCCAGTCAAATCCTATGTCAGCTCGCAGTGTTTGTCGAGGAAGACGATGGTTATTAACCTTGATATCGTGTGTTTGGTCCCCAATAGTGGAGTCATTGTTACATATTGATGAAGATTCCCAGAGTGCAGGAGTTAACAGATATCAGTGTACTCTCTGGTTTCCAGTGGTTCTCTATATGATGTACCATTTCATAATCCAACTTGAAATGATATTATTTGTCAAATTCAATTTTTTCTGACGTCATGGCACTACTCCTCAGTTTCTGAGGTTATGTGGGAGATGAAGAAGAATACAAACCCTGTACATCTGCAGCATTCAGGGTGAAGCAAGTGTAGTCATTTCACTTCGTCGAATCTTCAGCGCGTAGCTACCACTGCTATAGAAGTGATATTTTCCGTCAGTGGAGATCTGAAAGTTCTTCTTCAGCTTCACTCTGTGTCCGAGTTTTTCCAATATAGGGAGTATTTTTAATGTTCATTAATTTGATTTCGTTACCCTCTTTCGAATTTATTAGTATAGTAGTATTCAACTGACTAAGCGAAGTAAAGGAGTGCGTCGGCGGCTGGGAATCGAACCCCGGACCATGTGCATGGTCGGCGAGCGTCTTAATCGCTATGCCACCGACGCACAAACCTCGCCAGATACTAGCTTGCTAGGCTACTAGCTTACTAGTTTTCTCGCCGGTCCCAAGCCCGGGTAAAGAGGGAGGGTTGGGGCGTGGTGCTAGCAACTCCACCCCTGTAAAACAACCAAATCGCTACAGAAACTTCAACGAATAAATATATTAAAAATTCTAAAAATATAAGCAATAGCCTTACTTTTCGCTGGAATCGGGGAAGTGAAATGACGCAGGCTGGTGAAAGCCTTCGGGAAGCCAGTCAGCCGATGTGCCTTCTTTCGATGAAAGCAAAAGTAAGGATGGGTACCTGGAATGTTCGTACAATGTACGAAACTGGAAAGGCTGCCCAGATAGCCGCTGAAATGAGAAGGTACAGAATAGAAGTGTTGGGAATCTGCGAAAGCAGATGGAACGGAACTGGAAGGTGCCAACTACCTACTGGAGAGACAGTAATCTTTTCCGGCCACCCAGAGGACAACCATGAGCACACCGAGGGAGTGGCCATCATGATGTCACCAACAGCAACCAAAGCTCTCATGCAGTGGGAACCAATCTCCTCCAGGATAATGACAGCCAGGTTCAACTCAAAAGGAAGGAAAGTTACAGTCATTCAATGCTATGCGCCTACAAACGTCTCAGAACAAGAGAAGAAGGAGGCGTTCTACAGACAACTACAAGCAATAATGGACAACGTCCCAAATGGCGATATCAAAATCCTGATGGGCGACATGAATGCGAAGCTGGGAGGAGACAACACAGGAAGAGAACTCACCATGGGTCGTGAGGCCCTCGGCGAAATGAACGACAATGGTGAACTCTTCTCAGACTTCTGCGCCTTCAATGATTTGGTGATTGGTGGTAGTGTGTTCAAACACAAGGATATACACAAGACGACATGGATTTCACCAGATGGAAACACCAAGAACCAAATAGACTTCATCTCAATTTCAAGAAAGTGGAGACGGAGCCTACTGGACACAAGGTCAAGGAGAGGAGCAGATGTGGGTTCAGACCACTATCTAGTAGAAGGGACTTTCAAGGTGAAACTAAAAGCCTCGAGGATAGCTGGGGATAGGCCACAATGCAAGTTCAACACTCAATTACTGAAGGACACAACCACAAAAGACACTTTCACTGCAACTGTCAGAGCAAAGCAGGAAACACTACGCGACATCACTGAAGAATCATGCGTGGAAGAACATTGGAAGTCTCTGAAGGCGATTCTCAACGAAACGTGTTCAACGGTTCTAGGAAGAAAGAAGAGACAAGACAAGGAATGGCTCTCAACGGACACTTGGAAATTAATAGAAGAGAGGAGAATGGTGAAAGAGAAAATGATTCAATGCAAGGACGGACAGGAGAAGGAGACGCTGAGCTCAACTTACAAAGCACTGGACAAAGAAGTGAAGAAGAGTGCTAGGAAGGACAAAAGACGATTCTACGACAACCTCGCCACTGAAGCTGAGAAGGCAGCAGGCAAAAGGGACCTGAGGACACTATATCAGATAACCAAATCTCTATCCGGGAAGAGATCAACACAAGCGAAACCTATAAAAGACAGCCAAGGGAACCCAATTACCAAGGAAGAAAAACAGATTAAACAATGGGCGGATCACTTCAAAGGACTCTTGAACCGACCATCACCTGCAACCCGTCCAGAAATACCAACAACAGCGCACAACAACTGCAAGTTGACACCAATCCTCCAACGAGAGCTGAAGTCTTGAATACAATCAAGCTTCTGAAAGCTGGAAAAGCAGCCGGACCAGATGGAATACCCCCTGAAGCACTGAAAGCAGACCCAGAGACGACAGCAGACATGCTGACTCCATTATTGCAAAAGGTCTGGAAGGAGGGAAAGGTGCCTACTGACTGGAGGAAAGGTTACCTCGTGAAACTACCAAAGAAGGGCGACTTACGCCTCACTCTGCAAGAACTGGCGAGGAATCATGCTCCTGTCGACGCCAAGTAAAATCCTGAGTCGCATCATCCTGGAGAGATTAAAGGACGCACTGGAGACAGAACTCCGACCAGAACAAGCTGGATTCAGGAAAGGCAAATCATGTACTGACCAAATTGCAACTCTACGCATCATCACAGAACAAAGCATGGAATGGCAATCAAACCTCTACCTCAACTTTATAGACTTTGAGAAGGCCTTCGACAGCGTTGATCGTGAAGTAATTTGGAAATTACTCGAGTACTACGGCGTACCCCAAATATTCATCAACCTTATTCAACAGCTGTACGACAACGGCACCTGCCAAGTGATCCACAACGGAAAACTCAGCGAGGCGTTTGGAGTAAACACAGGAGTCAGACAAGGGTGCTGCTTATTATCACCAATGATATTCCTAATTGTGGTGGACTGACTGGATTATGCGTCAGACAGTAGTGGGAAACGAGAAGACAGGAATATCCTGGACCGACCGACGTGAAGAACCTAGAAGACCTGGATTTCGCGCGTGGATGATTTATGTTTGATGTCACACACAAATCGAAGACTTACAAGCGAAAACCGACAAACTGGTCGAAGAAGCAGACAGTGAAGACAGGACTCCAGGTGAACATAGACAAGACGGAGGTTATGAAAATAACCAACCAACAACAACAACAGCACATCCAGCGCCAATCACCATCAACGGGAGGGATTTGAAAGAGGTTACTTCATTCACTCACTTATCTAGGGAGCATTGTCTCAACTACAGCAGTCGGAACGGACGAGGATGTCAAATCGAGCGAGAATCGGGAAGGCGAGAAACACATTCATCAACCTGAAATCAATCTGGAAATCTTCGTCACTCAGCATCATCAACAAAATTCACTCGGTTTTTCAATACAAACGTCAAGTCAGTCAGTTCTTCTATACGGATCAGAAACTTGGCGGGCGGGTCACAAAGAATATTTCCAACAGCCTGTTGCAGACCTTTATCAACAACTGTCTTCGCTGCTCTATACTGAAGATCAAATGGCCGGAAAGAATCACCAACAAGGAATTATGGGAACAAACAGAGCAAGAACCAATCTCCCAACAAATATGCAGGAGAAAGTGGAGATGGATCGGACACTCGCTGAGGAGACCGCTGGGTGACATCGCGCGCCAAGCCCTCGAGTGGAACCCGAAAAGGAAGCGGCGTGTGGGATGCCCAAGGGTGACATGGAGGAGATCATGTGAAGAGGAGTTGAAACAGTATGGACTAACCTGGATATAGGTGAAAAGTACAGAAGAAGACAGAAGAAAATGGAGACGTGGAGTTGAAGCCCTATGTTCCACTAGGAACCCAAGGGAACAATAATAATAATAAGTATTCAACTGCTTCTTATACCTACTCACATAGTTTATTACTGTTCTTTCAATTCATTATTGTAGTTTATTGGTATCGACTAGCGAAAAATGAAACGTTTCTCAAAGCTTTAATTCAATTGATTCCTACTGGATATGGCGATCCATATTTACAAAATATTTCAATAATTTTGTTAAGAAACCTATGCGTCCTGGCTGGATCTAACACTCCGGTTAAACAGTAAGTTTTCTGCGTTCTTTTTAAGTTTATTTTCTTGCGCTTCCAAATAGAACCTCTAACTTCAAGCTTTAAATATGCTGACGACCTGACTGTATCGTTGCCTGTCAAATGTCAAAGTGACTGCTCCAAACTAAATGGCTTTTTATCAGAGATCAGCCAGTGGTCCAAGGAAAACGGTTTTACCTGAAATCCCTCTAAATGTCAAACAGTCAATTTGACCTTTAGGCATAAATCTGAGCTAAACAAACTGGTTAGCACTCACGAAGTGTGCAACATAAATGGCACTGAAATAGAAACCAAGTCGGAAATTAAATACCTAGGCGACATTCTATCTGCTAATCTTTCCTGGTCGTCTCATATCTTCATGACTTCTAAGAAAATATTCCGTCTTACCTTCTACAGCAAGAAGTTAAGACATTCTGGAATAACCCAACCCTTACTCTTACTATTCGTTAACTCTTACAACCTGCCTATTATTCTCTGTTGTTCTCCCTTAGTTTCTCCTGGGATACTGAAGAAATACTATACCTTATTACGCAAAATGTTGAAGGTTGTCAGCAGGGTAAGCAACGTGCCACATAACCAGCTTGTTAAAATCCTGGTCGACAGGCACTTGGACTTATGTGAAAAATGGGCGAAATCCATTCTGTTTAACTCACATCACTCTCTTCATTCACAACTCTCCCCTTGTATCTCTGCAGGCAGGCAGGCCAAATGCCTATATAGAAAACTATATGGTCGCACTAGTAAGTACAAAAACTCAACCATACCCCACTTAGCTCGTTTTCTGTGCGATAAAGAAAGCATTAGGTGTGATTTTTTATTTCTTTTTTATTATTGATTACAGCTTGATTCCACACCCTACTTTTGGTACAAGTGTGGAATTTTCAGCGTGGATATCGGTAGCCCAGAATTCGCAGGCCGACCATAGATATCAGGTGTGCGTCGGCGTGGGCTCGAACCCCGGACGATGTGCATTGTCGGCGAGAGTCCTAACCACTGTGCCACCGACGCACAGTAATACCTATAACTTAATAAATAGTCAGTAGAACAACTGGATCTCGTCTTTCCAACTCATATCATTTATAGGTCCAACGTTTTCTTTCTCTCTTTTCCTTTCCTCTCCCTCTCTCTTTTGGTTTTTGTTATGTACTGTTTTATTTCTCTATTCCTTACAAACTCCACTTAAACATTCTTCTTCGTTTTTTCACACTCTGTATATCTCGACCTTTTGTTACCGCTTACGCCGGTAAATATGCTACCATCTACTTTTCTAACACCTTCCAACACTCTGTTCAATTTTGGCTTTGCTACCGACATGCCAATATGTTGTTGTCTGAGATTACTCTTAATCTATGTGGAACTAACTGGATGCAATACTGTGGCAAAATGCTGAGGATTCCATTCTGTATCACAAGTACTGTTTTGGAATAAAGCAAATTATTAATATTATTTTCAGTGGTAGTGGTATTGTTTAGTCGCTGTTTATTTACGAGCTGGAGTTAGTAGCCTCACACCTGCGCGGAAGTCGACTTTTCGCCAAGTGCATTAGGGTTTGCGGTTCGAACCCTTGCGCGCATGAGTGGCGACCACTCTAAAATTCAGCCATTATGTAGCAAACTAACTTTTAGTTCGTTCGTTTGTCTGCTTGCTTGCTTGTCCTTGTTTTATGGCTACAAACTCAGAGAAAAACAGGTATGTGTGACAAGGATTTTCGTTAGAGATTCATATAACCACAATAATGTGTTGGTTCTCAATGACTGAAATGTATTCACGCCTTGTAATCTCCCAGAGTTCATTAAATATTCATCTTTTTTTCGCGTTACTACTTTTTTTGAATAAGGCATTAAGAAGACAGATTTCGCGAGATGATATCTTCATTTCGTAGTTTCTTTACGACCGCTTTACAACTAACATGGTTCATAATAATCAAATAAAGTTCATGACAATTACTCAGTTAAATAAAAAACAAAAGTACATACTAATGACCAATCATATTTAAATAGGTCATGTGGTGAAGTGGACAATATCTTCATTTTACCAGTTTTGTTCCTATCCAGTATAAACGTTCCCTAGTGAGTGAAATGTTTGTTCTCAAGGGCCCGAAAAATATGCACGAGTGACACATTGATGGATGAGTTTCGACATGTACATTCAGTTTTATTAGCTAATGGTTATCCAGAGAACTCTATCACTTGTCACAGCAAAGTAAGATCACATCTCGAAAAGACAGCTTCTGTACCAAAGAAAGCTATCTGTCATTATTAACCCACCATTAAAGGGTGACCAGATTGTGCAGTTGACAGCTAGCTCAGAGACTTCGGTTAGCCACCAAACACACATTCTGCGCCGCATCTCTCTCTTGCATTTGCCGAACATTTTCGATCCCTGTACCTACGATTAAAGGACGAAATTCTGTGGACTCTACTTCAAACTGTATCTACAAGTTCACCTGCAGTTGCGGTGACACACACCTATGTAGGTAGAACCAATTGAATTTTCCAATGTCGTCGAAAGGAACATGTTCCAAAATGGTTATTGAAACATATAGAAAATCCCTATGCAACTATTAATCTGAATAGAAATCCAGCATCATCCATTGCAAAACACTTATGGATGTTGGGTTACGAAATCAACATTAGTGTCTGTTTCACAATTATTTCACATAACTCGGTCATTAGTATGTACTTTTGTTTTTTATTTAACTGAGTAATTTTCATGAAGTTTATTTGATTATTGTGAACCATGCTAGTTGTAAAGCGGTTGTATAGAAACTACGAAATGAAGATATCATCTCGCGAAATTTGTCTTCTTAATGCCTTATTCAAATTTATCAAAGGGACTAATTGTTTTGGTCTACTCTTTTTCTCTTGTGTTTCTGCTGATTATATTTATTTTGAACTTTTTTCACCGCTTTTCTATGCTACGTAATTTGTGGTAACTTGTACTGGTAGAGAGTTCTCTGCCTTGCAGTAGAGCTCAAAGAAGCGACGATTTGCCGATGATCTCTCCTCCGCTTCCGGATAGATGAACTTCTACTTAGAGGATATTTTTTTTCCAGGTATTAGGGGAATGCTTACCGCCAGCTTTGGTTGACATTCGCTTCATATTCAGAATTATTAGAAGTTAGAACGTATGGGGTTAGGTGAGTCCTGATTCACATTGAGTTTAGGGTTCAATGTTATATGGTGTCACAGTTACTGTGTGCTGTCGAAGCGGTTAAAACTTGTAACATAACAGCTGTCCAGCGCCTAATGATATCCCAGTAACACAGCAGTAATTCTGGCTAGCGATGAAACAATATCCATGGAAAGAAATGAGTGTCCATTGAATAGTTGACACGCATATTTTATTTATTATTTCCTTGGGTTCCGGGCTTCAGCAACGCTTCTCCACTACCTTCTATTTTATGCTGTCCCATTCAGCTGGCTTTATCATTATCCATAATGTCTTACAGACCAACTCGTTGCTTCTCAATGGGATTCCATTCGAGCAATTACCTGCGTGGCACACGATGTCATTCGACGGCTCCAATCAGTCCATCTCCATTTTCTCCTACATTCTGTTTAGCGATCGGCTCTTGCCTGCATATTTGCAGGAGGAAATGGGAGTGGAATGGACACACGCTGAGTAATCCGCTTAGTGACGTCTCACGCCTTTCTGTACAAGGCATCTGATCTTTGGTTTGGAGCTCCAAGGCAGCTGTTGATAAATGTCTGGAACCTTTTAGAAACGCTTTTCGTGATGGGCCAATTCTCTGGAGTGTATAAAAACATTGAAAATCCGAATCTGAGTACAGGAGATTTTCACACAGTTTTCATATTAATGAAGGTCTGTCTCGCCTTTCCAACTCTGCCTTTGGCATCTTTATCCGTGCCGCCTGTCTAGTTGAAACGATGGTGCCTAGTTAAGTGGAAGAAGTGGCCTCCTTTAAATCAACCCCATTAATACTGATTGGTGTTTGTTGTTGTTGTTAGTTCGTGGGGAGTTTTCATAGCCCCGGCATTCTCCATGTTCACTTGAAGTCACGCTTTCTTCCTGTGCTTCTCCTGGCAAATTGTTGGTTGGTTTTATTCTGTAAATCTTCAAATTCCTGTGACAGTAGACATAGATCATCCTGGATGTCCAGTCTTTCTAGAGTCTTCTTGTCGGTCCAATGTATACCTGTCACTTCCCACTGTCTGTCACATGTTCTAGTCTACCACATGTATTATTGATATAAGCATAAAACTTCGGCACTGTGGTAGAGTATAACCCCATTATAGATAAAATGTTATTTCTATAAATCACACAGATTTATACAGTAATACTAACTGATGAACACGTTTGAAGCAAAAACTTTACCACACTTAATCTTATGAAGTCACTCACACAACTATCTACTTCATTCAGATACGTGAGTGGGACTAATGATTAGACATTTGAATAAAAATCAGTATGGGATAATGTACATTCAGAAATAATAATAATAATAATATGAGTGTTATTCATCAATTATAATCAGATGGGAAATAAGACGAGTGTTTTTAGTCATAATAAGTAACTTGTTAGAATGTTATGATGTAAGTAAATTGAATTGAAATAGAATTTTAAGATTATTTATTATCCTCTTCTGATTTGACTGACTGATGGTAATAATATCTTCCATATCTCTGGTATTCGCATTGAATCATTTCTGTTGCATGTGTAATTGTGTGTTTATTCATCTTGCACAAATGCTGAGTGTTTTTTTCTAAATTACTTATCTTCCCGGGTGGGGTCAACCATTCTTACCTTAGCTAAATTCTTATGTTCTGACAATCTGACTACCCCTGACCTACTAGTTTGACTGACCTATGTTGTTGACCTTGCTCACAGTGATTGCAGGGTATTTTGTAAATTATATTATTTTGTTTAATTGGGTATAGCGGGTCTTTTAGCCTACAGAGCTTGTCCTATCTGAGTGAGTTTGTAGGTTTGAATGCCACAATGATTCCTGCTCTATTAAGAATCCTACGTAG